TTTTTTGTGTGAATATTGTTTTTTTACTTACAAATATCAAGCAATTAATACTGACAGTTAATGATAATATTCTTAACAAAAATTTTACAAACATTTATCACATTATAATCATGCATTGCTTTTAACAGCGAGTATATCTCATATAGAGAAAGTTCCGCGCGAAAGGACGCATGTTTTTTAGAGAGCTTTTTTAGAGAGCGGCATTGTTAATCATCTCATTCAAGTTAATATCAACTTAACGCTATTGCCAGACTTTGCCTCGCGCAGATTGTAATCGCATCAAGAAATAATCTTTCAGTCTTAAATTTTGCAGGATGCAATTTAGATCTCGTTCACACTATATAAACACGTGCTAGTACGAAACTTTGTCGCCGGAAAATCGGTTTTTATAGTTTTTCACGACGCCTCCAAGTCACGGTTTCGACGGTTTGTTTGTTTTTCATATTTGATGATTATAGTTTTGCACATTTTTTAGTCAGATTTTGCAGTCAAATCAAACTCTCATGATTTAGTGTTGACACGCTGACGAGAGAGGTAGCTAGAATTTCGTTTTGTTAAACCCTTAAGATCAGTAGTGAAGCGATCATATAAACTTCCACTTCTACATCGTATGTATGTAACACAACTAAACGATGATCATCAACTTTTTCATCATTAATGATCCGAGCCACGTTTGAAATGTGACAATATATCTCTTAGCAAACATAACATAATACTATAGGCAATTTTGATAACTATGATAACATATATTATACGTTTTGTTTTGTGGGAGAAGCAGGTAGTTCAAGAATCCACTCCGTTTAATCCTACCTTGTATATCGGCTGGTTCAAATTCGTAAACTCCCTTCGTAAAGCCACATAAAAGAACAACAGCTAACAAAATCTCTTTAAATAACATCGTTAACTATCATTGAAATGGTTTTTAAAAAATATTTATTCATAACATGACTTTTAAAAAAACAGTAGTGCAACTTCGAAGCCGCGAAGCTAAACCGTGAAATCAATCAAGGGCATCAAAAGTGAATCAAACACCCGGGTTTATTTGTGAATATCCTATGAAGCGTATACGGCGTTCGCCCATCTTGAATTGCCGCGTTAGACCGTTTTTGCGACTACGTCTTTCAACAGTTTAACTCGTTTATTGTATATTTATATTTTCCTTCTTGATGGTATTAATTTTTTCTTCAATTTTTTCTTCGGACGTTTATGATATTGATTATTATAGAATGTATGATATCATTCACAGCGAGGTAATTGTAGTAATTTCCGAGCCCAGGTATAGCTGTCAATGATTTGCTTCTTGACCTTTTCCTATCGATTTTCCTTAATCTAATTCTGCGTGTAACTTGCCCTAACATAAAAAAAATATTAACAAAAAGTTATGTTACACAAAATAATCACACGGTGTTGTATAAATTCGAAACTTTTTATAGTTATAGAGTTTACAAGTAATTTCCTTTATTTCCTTGTGAGGACTTTTAGGCAACTTGCATGCACAACGGATTCGAATCTACTTTTAATCCAACTAGGTGTCTAACTTGCAAGGTGTATTTAAAGGTTTTGGTCAATCTTAATTGGAGTGAACGGATAAGATTATATACAAAGTCAATAAATATATTTAATTTTTCACTTATTTTCCTTAAGCTGTGATTTTGCTAAGGGACACAAAATTCATCTGCACGCGGTCCTAAATATTTCAAGTTAGTCTTTTATTTAAAGTTATATTACCTATAAGAAAGTTAAATGCTGCGCATGTGCAATTCTAAAAAATACTACCTAAAAGGTTTGATTTGGAACGCAAAATACATTGCTGACTTTTTTGGGTGAAAAATGGTCCTTTTTGATGTCAAGGACTTTTAATGTGGCTTGCATCATAGGCGTCTTAATGCATGAGTAATTTTTATATAGCTTCTTTGCAATTGATTTATCATGCTTTTATCATGATTAATCCTTGAAAACAAATGCACAACTCAGGTATTATCTTTGATGAAAACAAAAACGTTACGTAGTAAATAAGGAAAAATTGAAACATTCAGCTTTATATAGTACTAGTTTCCTCTCTTAAAGAGGAGAAACAAGATTTGTAGTGTCAGCTAAAATAGTGTCTAATCTAATAGAGATTATAACGTCATATGAGAACCAAGAATACTTACTTCCTATCACCACACTAACTTCAAGAGGGTGTAGAAGGGGTCTTTAGAAAGCCTAAGGAATATGGCTAAATAGTTACACGTAAAGTTTAAAGAATTTAATTTTTTTCTCAGTGATTACAAAATTATAGCCTCCATTACTTCTCTTATACAACTAGCAACAATCGCGTACGTCAGTGAAGGGAGTGTTTTCTGGGATATCAGTGGTCGTCTCGACGACTCAATAGACGCTAGCCACGGTTTTGAGGCAAAACAATAAGCATGTTCTTCAGTGACATTAACTTACTTCCAAACCACACCGGCACTAAATCATGAAGTTATACTCAATTGATGTGTTTGCGTGATATGGAAGAATGAAATTATTATACAAATGATATATAATTTAATCTCTTTGTCTTTTTAAGGTAACGTTATTGATTATTCGTGCTTCTTGTGCTCTTTTTTCAAATGATGTTTTGCATGCTTCGAGTGATGTACTTTATGTTTTTTGTCGTCTGGCACATGATGTACTTTTGATTTTTTGTGGTGGGCCATAGCACTCTTTTTGTCACTGCAGCACTTCCTCGGACACATTAGGTAACAGTTTTGTTGACAGGATTGGGAGCATCCATTTGGCATGTATTGCGATTGCTGCGCACCGTACGCTTGGCCTGGGACGCCAGTCATCCCCTGCGTAGGGTAGCCCTGGGTAGCATGATAACCTTGGGTAGCAGGATAACCTTGGGTAGGAGGGTTCCCGGTGTATCCAGGCGTGCCAGGATAAGTACCTTGTTGCGCTTGGCCTCCAGGGTATTGCGGATATCCTGTGTATCCTTGATTAGCTTGATATCCTGAAGGTGACTGCATGTTGTTGTATCCTTGCCTCTGTGGGTATCCCTGCCTCTGCGGGTATCCCTGCCTTTGCGGGTACCCTTGCATCTGCGGATATCCCTGTCCCTGCTGGTAACGAGGTTGTGCACCAAATCCTTGATTGTATTGATTCCTGCCATATTGATTGAAGCCCATAGGTCTGCGTTGGCCTCCATGAAAACCAGCTCGTAAATGATGAGAATCTTGAAAAACATTAAATCATCCTGTTCATTGCCGTATCATTTCACAGTGTAAACAAAATATCAATTAAGCATCGTCAAATATGACCAAGCAACTATGAATGACCAAATGTTTTGAGGAAATAAATATAATACTAATATAGTGTTTTCTTCTGTTCTGTGCTATATTTTTGTACCATATTTCATTGTGAGCTACTGCATTATTGTATCATTTATTTTATTGAACAAAATTGCTGTACTGAATGTCAATATACTGATGTTTTCTGTACTTATGTATTCACCATATTTCAGTGTTAGGTAATGTTAGTAGTGTATTTTCATTTGTTGTATTGTACTTTTATTTCTTGCGTGATCATGATGCCTGTGTTCCAAATCGTTTAGGCAATAGATTGTATGGATTATGTGACATGAGATGTGTAATGAGTGTGACTAGTGACATGACACGATATGTTTTCTTTTGTATAATAGCCATTTCCCAATCGAGTAGGGCACTGGGTCTAGTCGTGAACCGCAAAGTATCTATTGGCTGTTTTGAGGGACAGGAAATATAAGTCTGAAATCGTTTGTCCCTCCAAACAGTCCATATCGATGCTTTGTGGTTCGCGACTAGGCCTAGTACTCTGCTCGATTGGGAAATAGCTAACTGTAATTAATAAACTAAAGTATTTTTTTTACATGAAATTAACTGAATTTTACCGTGAGCTTTGTGAGCTTTGGCCCTAAGCTTTTCTTTCTTTCCTACTTTGACAGCATTTTTCACAAGTTTACTGAGTTTTGGATCCATGACAATAACATCAGCTAAAACGCATAGGTTATTAATGAATAGGAAACCTTTTATTGTTTTAAATGTGCACTGATGTATTTTACAGTATTTCATATTCTAGTACCGTTTTTGTTCTTGAGTATGTGATGAGCATTGTCAAGATGTTTTCCTGCAAAAATTAGGTGCAAATCAATCTCTTACATCACCACATCACCTTAGTTCTACATGCTCAATCTAATTACATATGTTTGTAAATATGAACTTTTCCGTGCAAAAAGCTTTACTGTTCATAAAAATGAACCACCCCACTCTAACTGGCGATTCTATCGAATTCATTCACCGCCTATAAACAATTCTGGACGAGAGTCGCCAATGGATCCAAAAGACCATAATTGCTTATATAATCAGCAAATACAATGTGTGGTAGTAACTGGGGCTTTTGACTTATCCCATGTTGTGAGGTGGGTATTAAATCAATCCATCAGTTTTAAATAAGGCGGATCATGTGAAAAAGTTACATAAAAAGCAAAATATTCTATGTACCTAAGGCATGGTCGACAGCATGCTTTACTTCGTCCGCAGCTTCTTTTAATTTCTTACCTTGAGAAAAAGAAAAAAACATTTTTTCAATCATCTCATATCCCGCAAACATATCCCGCAAATATATTCATGTCTATTGAATGTATGTATATATGAATATATTGTTTCCTTTCAGTTGTGAGAAATCGAGCCTTACGATCCAGTCAGGGGCGTAGGATGCATCCAGAGATTGCGGGGGCACTTGTTCTAGAGGCACTTTTGGTTAGTAAAAAGAGCAGCTGAAAACATGTATAGGGACGGTTTGACTGCCAAAACTGCCAGGGCACTAGTGTGGTTTATATTTAAGCTCTACAAAAAGATTTGGGCACAGAACATCCCGCCTTCCCCCTACTTGAATATTAATAATTATAACCCCTTTGGGTCTACTTTTAATTGCATACCAATTTTATGTTGCAGTAATTTGGACACAGCATTGTGTACGTCTTCCGCTTTTTGCGCATCGAGATTACCAAGGTCCCCCTTGACTAGAGCAAACAGAAAGTATCAATTTAATAGTGAATATTTTTTTTGAAAATACACTATTTGGTGCCCGTCGCTTCACGTGGCTCTAAAATATTGCAAATCAACCCGAGGAGGGGATTTGTCATATATTTTTATTCTCGATACTTCGCTCATCCCAAAATCCAGCCAAAATGTGTTTTCTTCAAAGCAGGTATAAAGTCCAGAATGGTGAGAGTTGGAAAATCGGGGAGTAAAGAATTGTTGTTGTTTAAAAATAAAAAAATAATACGCATGGTCTCTTGCTTACTTTCGGTTCTCTTGGCGTAATTTCGATGAATACAAACGAGAAAAGCAACCAAAACAAACCTTCGCAATGGCGAAAATGCAGCCATGTTTATCTCTAGGTAAAGATATGGATGTAAATAGGTGTCTGAATGTACAAGCTTTATCTTTAAAATGAAACTTTGATAATAAACTAGCTATTATAACTATAGAGTGGAACTGTGGAAGGAGGTAATGGTAAGACAAAAGATTTAAACTATCTGTAATAAATGTTGTAGAATAATGGAGTCAAGTGTTTAAGAATTTCAGGCAATATACAATGTGTTTTGTTAGAAATGAATATCTCTTTCTCGAGATTTTCCAAACGAGTGAAATTCGGTTAGGCTAAAACAGCTATTTTTTTCGGCTTAGCATATGACGTACCAAGGCCATTAGAAATATTTCAAAACAGAATTCGAAGTGATGAAGATATTTTTACGTTTAGTGAATGAAAGCTTGTTTCGACTGATTAGCCCCGAGAAAAACATCATCAACGCTATAACAGTTCACCTAAACAGATCAGATTAAACTAACAGCTTACTTTACATATCGCGGTAATTTATCCAGTTACATACAAATTTTAAGGATGAAATAAACGTATTGTCATACCTGAAGAAATTCTATTTATTTCTCCTTTATTCCTTCTACACCGTGACTGTTAATTCCATCCAAAATAACTCAGGTGTAAAATGATGTTATCAAACACCAGGAACGTTTTACTGGTGTTGTTCCTCCAAATGCATTGCACTAAAATACTACATATTCAAGCTTTTACAACGTTTTTCTACATTTCTGTTTTTTGTCTCCATAACTGACGGGCAGTTAAGCTAGCTATATATATGCGTGAACCTGTGTGGAGTAAATTTACGAATACTATATTACTTAGTATAAGATCCTCCAAAAAAAACTAAATGATATCATGCAATATTTCATTTTTTCATTGTAAACATTTCTAAAAAAAACAATAGATTTGATAGGAAAAAATCAGTTACGCAATATACTGACTAAGTGGAGCAGCGTAGCCAGCCCGATGAATTAACAACTAACAAGTCTCGCTATGCAAATTTCAATTTATAATTATTCAAGTCATAATCATTTCTTAACGCAAATTTTATTATGAATTGATCAAGAATAAGCAAGTACAAACTGCCCGATTATTTTCGCCGTCTATGAAACATCAAAATATTAGGGCAGTGGGAATAAATCGTGAGGCAGGTTATGCTTTTGAATACACGTCTATCATTTTCTTTTAATTTTTTAACGAATTATAGATTTCAATAATAGAGCATTAATTGTTTTTACTAAGTCGCTGATTGTTTTTTTATTTAAAACATAGTCTATTGTGAACACGCGAACAGTTTTCAGCTTCTTTGTTGGCAGTAAACAGTGGTAATCATAGTTATAGCTTGTATTAATGAACACGCTTCATGCATGTACACTAATTTTTTACATGCATCTGAATGTCATTTTACCCAGAGAATTTCGTGCGCGAATGTCGAGATAAGTGGAATGGATGTGAACGAAGAAGTGGAAATGAAGAACATCAATGGATGGTAATGAGCATTCAAAAAATGTTTCTTTTCTTTTCTTTTGCGGTCAGGTTGAGTGTTTGAACGGCGCTGCTGGCTCTCTTTGAGACTTCGTGACGCATAGGAACCCCGAGACAGGGGAATGACAATACAGCACTTTTTTGATAATCGTCATTTTTTATAACAATCGCTTATTGTTAGTTATTGATTTTAGTAACCTTGTTACTTTCTAAGATATTCCGAAAAAAAAAGGATCCAAAGGCAAAATCCTCTCCGCCTGGATACGCATAATATCTTTGGTGCGATATGAAATAGGCTAGCGTGCAAAAAATTAAGGAGACGACAAATCGACAATACCCTGACTGGGGTGCATGTTCATATACTCATTATGCCCCACGGAATTCTTTTGAAGATACGCGAAATGCCTGGAAGAATATGCCCATTCCATAACTATTGCATCTACTTTCGGCTCTGAATTGAAGTTGAAGTTCTCTACACGTCTTATAATAAAAATAAGTTAAAATTTCATGGGACTCAAACGCGGCTCATACAAGAGCTAAAATATGCGACTTACACAAAGTTATGTATTAAATGTACATTATACATTGCTTGTATATTTGACATACGACTGACTTCACATCCATTCAAAGAAAAACGGGTAAAATCAAGAAGGGTAAAATCAAAATGAAATTCTTTCAGCTTGTGGAACACAGACGTATAAATGTGCTTCTGCTGCAATTTTTGAACGTCCAATTTTTGCACAGGCCATATAAAATGTAGAGGTTATAATTTTGACAGAAAAATTCACTTTAATGTTATCGCAAAATATTGACTATATATTTTCTACACAATTACATACATGGAGTTTAAAAAAAACACATCATGCAATATTGCGCTAACCTGTGAAGGATGCTTAAAACTCAAAAGTCACCTCCGGAACCATGTTAATTAAGATAATCACGGAACTGGATGGACTGTACAGTTTATGAATTACACACTTCCTCATCAAATCTGGTTAAATATTACACAGTAGACATACAGTCAATGTCCACTTGTAAGAACAAATATCCTGTGTCCAGAATATTTATTCGTCCTTGTGGTGGCGGTGTGCCTTGCTCTTCTTGTTGTGCTTCTTGTGTTGCTTCTTGTGTTGTTTCTTGTGGTGTTTTTTGTGCGATTTCTTGCCTTTTTTCTTTTCTTTGCGTTCCTCATCTTTGAGTTTCTTCTCCTTCTTGTCATCACATCCCATTCCACATCCGCCGCCACCCATTGGCATTGGCATAGGCATTTGCATTGGCATTTGCATAGGCATAGGCATGCCCATTCCTCCTTGCGGTTGGCAGCATTGGTTACCGCCTGGCGGTGGGCACATTGGTTGTTGTTGACCACCGCATGGGTTGGCCGGTGGACACTGTGGCATGGGCATTTGACATCCACCCATACCCATACCCATACCTGGGAATCCCATTCCTCCTACGGGCGGAGCAGCGGCGCCACCACCACCTTAAATAGAATTATATTCTTGGTTATACTTGCCGTGCTATGACAACATTTTCCATCATGCTGTACCAGTCAGAAAGATATACGATTGCTTATCTTAATGCTGTCGAGCTTTCACCTAACTGATCGTGCAGATATCAACACGGAATGTATAAAAAAATGGTAGCTAAGATAATTTTATCGTCCTACTGTGCTGAATTCACTACAAACCTAATGTCCAAATGTCAACATAGGCCAGGCGTTTAAATGTAAGAGAGCCATGTTTTTCAGACCGAAAAAAACAAAAGATGATTACTTACTTCCACTACCGCTTCCACTTCCACTGCCTAATTAAACAAGAAGAGAAATAGATTAAAATTTTGCCATGCAATTATGACGACATAACCTAAGTGTTATCTTAAGATCTGGATAGGATTAGAAATCGGGGAATAGACAACTCCTTGCATAGTTTGTGTACGGGCCAATTGTTTTTCGTAAGCAGAGTTGCATATTTTGAGCAAAATATTGCCTGACTCTCCACAAAAGTTCCTTGAATTATATCACTCTTTTTTGCCGTAAATCGAATTTTGTCCCTAAATACTGCTGAGCAATTCATTGCATTCTAACATGGTGTTTTTCAGAATGGAATGGACTCACAATTTACACGAATTTATACAATTGGTCGGTGATCGTTGCCTTACCTGCCGCTCTCTTCACTTTGAAATCTGTAAGATAAATGAAATTGCTGCCTCAGTTTGTTAGTTATGGTGGAAAAGTTGTGTATTTTTTTCTTTATATTCATGTTACCCACCCTACCAAATCAGTAAACTGATGTCGATAGAATATCTTGATGTCGATAGACATACAAACTGTATGTACCAACCCATGCAAGTACCAACCTTCACGTATGTCTCATTCGATCTATTTTTCGAAAAATGTTTACAATATATACCCCCCGAATGGCCAGAGTTAGAAATTGACATAAAAATATAAGTCTATCTTTCGGTGATTTGGACGGGTATTTTCGTACTTTTATATAGTAATAGGTAGTTTCTGGCCGATACCCAAAATTCGTAGCGATATTGATATAATACACGAAGCACTTTCACATTATTATACAACAGTTGCGTTATTGTCTTATTTTTATCTTGGAAGGCTGCACCTTACAAGTATATTATACCAATTGATTTTTATATGCTTTTATAGAATATATTTCATTTTCAAACTGTTTATTTTAGTCTAAAGAGAAAACGAAGTAACTTTTAATTTTAACTTACCGGTTGGCATGGCCTGGATCACTCCAATGGTAAAAACTGCGACAAGAAACGATTTCATCATCTTGCCGTCCTCTAGTGAAAAAGAAAACGAAATAAGCCTTGCTTTCGATGTAATACTTCAACAAATAGCTGAATGAAAACAAAGCAAAAATAAAACAACACATACTTTGACTATATTAGAGCTTCTTCGACGATATAAAGACAAACAAGTACTAACAAATTCACGAGAAGAATTGATTTGGTTTCAACTACCAGCAATGATCATCAAACCGTGTCAGGTACCTAAACTTTGTGCCTTCTCATTGGCTTAGATTATCTTTGATCTTTGGGAAATCATTCAAGCGCTTCATTAACCTGTAAGACTTTCAGATGTCACAAAGGGGTGACAAAAGAGTTTTCATCTTCGCGCCTAGACCGATTGATTGAGAAACATTTATTTGCGTCACACCAGAGTTCACAAATTTTCAAAATAGTTTTATTAGGAAAATCTTCTTATATAAAGGGATTGCCTCAAAACCAATTTAAAAAACATCAGTTTAGGATAATCCAAATTAAGAAGTTAATCCCCTATAAATACCAGCATTGTCTAGAAAAATACTTTACAATTTCAATATTTATTGCGTGCAAAAATAATAGTCTTGATGACGAAGAGTAGGCATTCGGTGCTACGGAAAATTCATACATGCAGTTGAAGCGCAATTTTATAATATCTGAACGTAATTAACTTTGATATAATTAGCCTTGCACACATGGTGTGGAAGCAGTGCCCAAACACCAATACCTTTTTCTTAGCCACTGGGCTCTTTGTATCGATTACACAGTGCTCTGAGACATTGAATCCAGTAGATCTCAGTGTGAAACGTGCGTGCATGAACGCACGGAAAAGATGAAATAAGCAAAGTTTGCCGACGACCGAGTAACAAATAGAATAAAATTACAGAGTTTATAGTTTGTGGACAATGTAATATGTGTAAGTTAGTTTTATTGGTTTATTTGAAAACTTCGTGAGCAACAATGTTTTAGTCTATGACAGAATTTTCTATATTTAAATTCCTATGACACCCGTAGAGGGGAAAAAACACGCTAATGCACAATGGTATTTAGTGAAATAACAATATTTTTTCCAGCTTTGTCTAAAAATTTTAAAATGACACAGACAGAGAAAAGCACTTTGACGTTTTTGCCCGGTGAACAAAAGAAAACCACTTTAACTCATTAGCGGCACCCCGTCAATGGCGAAAAGTCCTTCGCAACAAAGTTCTGACCAAAGCGGCCTAAAGTGTACATAAATGAACTAATTATACCTACTGAACTGCCATATTTTAAGATCGAGATTATGAATTAGTGCGCCAATGTACCATAAGTCCCGTGAGATAAACCCAAGAAGGTGGAT